ACGTCACAACAATGCCACAAACTATTTTTACCTGTCTGACGTCACAACAATGCCACAAACTATTTTTACCTGTCTGACGTCACAACAATGCCACAAACTATTTTTACCTGTCTGACGTCACAATAATGCCACAAACTACCCCCACGTGTACCCCAGGAGCCCCGTGTGGTCAACGCTAAGGGTCGTAATGGCAAGGCCAGTCCCAAGACAGCTTATGACGGGGTGGATGGGTCCCATTACTTCCTCACACCCATACACTTCTATAAGGTGAGCATCTCACACCCCCTATCACACCCATATCACACTCATATCACACCCATACACTTCTATAAGATGAGCATCTCACACCCCTATCAAACTCATATCACACCCCTATCAAACCCATATCACACTCATATCACACCCATATCACACCCATATCACACCCATATCACACCCATATCACACCCATATCACACCCATACACTTCTATAAGGTGAGCATCTCACACCCATATCACACCCACACACTTCAATAAGGTGAGCATCTCACACCCGTATCACACCCATACACTTCTATAAAGTGAGCATCTCACACCCCTATCACATGCACGTCACACCCATATCAAACCCATATCACATCCATATCACATCCATACCACACCATTATCACACCCATATCACACCCATATCAAACCCATATCACACCCATATCACACCCATATCACACCCATATCACACCCATATCACATCCATATCACACCCATATCACATCCATATCACACATATACATTTTTTTAAGGTCAGCACCCCACACCAATATCACGCCGATATCACACACATATCACACGCACGTCACACCCATATCACACCCATTTCACATCCATATCACACCCATATCACACCTATATCAAACCCATGCACTTCTATAAGGTAAACACCTCCCACCCATATCACACCCATACACTTCTTTAACCCCATCCGTACGCCCAGGGGTCATTTTGTACCCCGGGGTTGTATTTTTCACATTTTAGAATATTTTTAGTACGAAGATCTTTGAAACTTTCAGTATTTCTCAAAAAATCATTTTGACAAATTACTATGCAAAGCGTACGGATCGGATTAACGAGTAAATTTGCTCTTTGGAGAGTGGTGGCACAGAGTTCGCCATGTCTTATGGATACGATAGTAAAACACGACGTACGGATAGGGTTAAGTGGTGGCACAGAGTTCCCCACGTCGTATGGATACGATAGTAAAACACGACGTA